AAACATGTCATATAGGAAGCTTCGAAGAACAGGAACACCAGCCAGATGCAATTTGACCATTTTTGCACGTCCAAAGTCCGTTCAGCCGAATGCTGCCGAATTGAATTATGAGCCAACTGAACCCGGATCTCCGGAAGATCCAAATGCCGAAGCAATTCGCGAAAGAAACTCTCAACAAGAAGAGTTACCGGTAGCTAGCGTGCCAGAAATTCAGTTGCGCCGACAGATCGACCCCAGGGAGAAACGTCAGAACAAGTTCGAGACAGAGAGTCCATTGACCTGGCAAGCCAAAAGCATGGACCTTTGTTCCTAGCTCTTAAACCAGAAGAACAAATGTGGGTGATAAAACTTCACAAGAATCTAGGCCATCCAGGAACGCTGAAACTCCAAACGTTTTGCAAACAACTTGGGAAAGATCCCCAGCTCATTCAGGCAATTGCAGATCTTCGATGCTCATCCTGTCAGGAATGTAAGAGCCCAACCATTCCCCGTCCATCAGCCATTCATGAAGAAAGAGACTTTGGGGACATGATCTCCATGGACGGGATCACATGGACAAACAAACATGGAAAGATGGTCAACATCTATCATTTTGTAGATCATAGTACGACTTTCCAAACCGCAATATGTTCTCCGCAAAGGACAACAGAAAGTGTGATCAAAGCAATCACTGTTGGATGGATTGCATGGGCAGGTGCACCAGGAACCTTGTGTCTAGATGCAGCCGGTGAATTCTCAGCCATGGAGTTGTCGGACTTTCTGCAAAAGCACAATATTCGACTTAGGATGATAGCACCTGAAGCTCACTGGCAAAACTCTCGTGCCGAAAGACATGGTGGGATACTCCAAGACATGCTGAAGAAAATGGATCATGAAGAAACGATAGAAGACTACTCACAATTGGAGCAGGCATTGTCAATTGCCACGCAAACTAAAAATCAATGGAGTAGGCATAGAGGTTTCCCTCCTGAGGTTCTGGTATTTGGAAAGCTTCGAAAATATCCTGGATCAAACACCAGTGACAATGAAGTAACATCTCACTTGCTCGCCCTCGAAGGAACTGCAGAAGGCATTCGCTTCCAGAAGGAATTGGCATTGAGAGAGAGAGAGAGAGCCAGGAAAGCATTCAGTGTAGTTGATAACAGCCAAGCCTTGCGTAGAGCGATTGTCCAGAGAAGCCGTCCAAGTCGAAGCCACTATTATCCTGGAGAATGGGTCATGATTTGGCGCAGAGATGGCCGCTGGCTAGGACCATTCCGAATAGTCATTCAAGAAGGAAGACATGTGGTTTGGGCAAGTTTTGGTAATAAGCTATTTAGAGCAGCCCCTGAACAAGTGAGACCAGTTACTGCAGTAGAAGAAGTCCAATACAAGGACCAAATGGAAAGGGAACCAAGAGCGATGCTTGATCCTGAAAATATCCCTAAGAATTTTCAAGACCTCGGAACAGGACACTCTCCGGAAGTCATCCCGGACGAAAATATCCATATGAATCCACCAAACCATGTAGAAGAAGTTGAAGCTGATTCAACAGGGCAACCTGACACCGAACCAGCAGCACCATCTCTGGCCCCCAGCCAGAACTCTCTACCGGGCAGTACAGATCAAAATGCTTTACCTGAAAACATCCCGGTTCCAGAAACGGAAGAAGAAGATGAACTATTTGCAAATGTGTTTCACATGCAAGAAGATCAATGTTGGGAATTAGAATTTCCCTTGGGGTACTCAGAGATCAACCAACTGTCCAATGCCGTAGAACCCCAAGAAGCCATAGCATACTTTGTAACTAATGCAAAGAAACAAAAGGTCGAAGTCAGAATGTCAAACCTGTCAAAGGAAGACAGACTGAAGTTCGAAGCCGCCAAGCAGAAGGAGTTTTCAAGTTGGCTCGACACAGCAACCGTGTCGAAAATAGCACGGAATAGGATACCGCCCGAATGTATCCTCAGGCGCCGCTGGATTTTGACCTGGAAGGACGGAGCCACTAACAGTCATCTCTCGAGCACATCAGCACAGGGGAACTCCCAAAGAGTACCCAAGGCAAGGTTAGTAGTTTTAGGTTATGAAGACCCGGAACTTCACAATGTGCAGCGTGACTCACCGACGCTCACGAAGTTGGGCCGATCCTTGCTATTACAGTATGCTGCTAACATGAATTGGGAGATCGCCTCTTTTGATATCAAAACAGCCTTTTTGCGGGGAACTGCCAACAAAGATCGAGTACTAGGCCTTGAACCCGTACCAGAATTCCAAGAAAGACTTCAAATGAAGAAAACTGAGATTCTTCAACTCCTTAAGGGAGCATATGGGAGAGCGGATGCCCCGCTACTTTGGTTCCAGGAACTGAAGAGAGCTCTGCAGGAATTGAACTTTGTACAATCACCAATGGACCCATGTATTTTCCTGCTTCCCGGCCAGAACGGACAAAATCATGGCATGATTGGAGTCCATGTGGACGATGGACTCTATGCCGGAAACAGCCACCTGATGGAGAAGTTGGCAGAATTGTCCAAGAAATTTCCTTTCGGCAGCCAGAAAACCAGAGACTTCGTCTTCACAGGTTTGCACATCTCTCAAAAGGAGAATGGAGAAATCCATGTCGACCAAAGCCAGTATGTAAAGGAAATAGAACCCATAAGATTGTCTCAAGAAAGAAGCAACTCACGGAAAACATCACCGAGAAGGAACGCCAATCATTGCGAGCTGTAGTTGGGAGCCTTTTGTATGCAGCAGTAAATACCAGACCAGACCTATGCAGTAGGCTCGGCAAACTCCAGTCCCGAATCAATAACGGAACTGTTTTTGATCTACTAGAAGCCAACAGAACATTGCATGAAGCAAAACAGTTCGCCGATGTAAAACTGAAATACCAACCAATCCAAAAGGAAAGACTTAGATTCATAGCCTTCTCCGATGCCTCCTTTGCATCGGAAAAATCGTTGAACTCTCACCAAGGAATGCTCATCATGGCATGTGATGAAAAAGTGGCAGAAAATGAAAGAAGCAAGGTAAACCCAATCCTGTGGGCCTCGAGGAAAATCCAGAAAGTAGCAGTAAGTACACTGTCTGCTGAAGCGACGTCACTGGCCGGATCAGTCGACACTCTCGCATGGGTGCGTTTGTTTTGGGCATGGATGATGGATCATAGGTGTGAATGGAAACTTGGTGAAGAAACACTCAGCAAACTTCCACCTGCCTTTTCAGCGTTGAAAGATGACATCCTTGAAAGTCCGAATGCCACCCTATGCAAAACCCACCAAATGCTGGAGATGATCCCAACCGAACAAGCTGTTGTACCCACGGACTGCAAATCCTTGTTTGATTTGATCAGTAAGACAGCAGCACCATCATGCTCGGAATTTAGAACAGTGTTGCAAGCCAAATTGATAAAAGAGCATCTAGGAACAGGGGTACTCTTGAGATGGGTTCCGTCAGGAGCTCAGCTTGCAGATGCGTTAACGAAAATCATGGACAACACTGTACTCAGAGAGATTCTGAAGTTAGGCACCTACAAACTCAACGACGAGCAAGAAATTTTGAAACATCGAGCCGACATCCGCACCCGCGTGAAGTGGTTGAGAGAAAACAGTCAGGAAAAGCCAAGTCGTCCTGATTGTGTGGGAGAGCAATCGTGAAGGGAGAAGTCAAAGTCAAAGGGGATGACAAGGAAGTTTCTTTGTCCTTGGGAAAGACTTTCGAGCTCTTGCCAACGATTGTTGGGGAAATTCTCGTTTTGTTGCCGCCTCACTTCAACGTCCAGCAACATGTTGGACCAATAAAGAATTTTAGGGTATGTCGAATCTCCAGGTCACATGTTGCTCAACCATGCCGTTCGTGCATTCCAGTCTGTGCACTTGCCACCGGCCCAAATCAGGGGTGGGAGCGGTGAGGTTCGTTGAGCCATGAGCTGTTGAGGAAAAGCAGCGCGGTTGGGCTACGTGGGAAGGGTGAGGACACCCCACTATCATACCGGAAATCGTATTTGGTGGATTGAGGACGATCCTGGTTGTTGAACATTGAGGAAGCATTTTGGTGAGGACACCAACCAGTTTTGTTGTGGACAGTGGACTGTCTTGGCTGAGAAGCTACCAATTTCATTTGAAAATAAATACCATAAATGTATATATATATATATGTATATATTCGATTTGTTTGCCGGGGGGAGGCCACAGAGGGAGGCAGTAGGTAGGTAGGTAGGTAGGTAGGTAGGCAGGTAGGCAGGCAGGTAGGTAGGTAGGTAGGTAGCTAGTAGAGAGGAGGGGGTCGCTGCTACCTACAAGTACGCTTCTAGTAGCTGGAGCCTTGCAAAGGCAAATGGCCGAAATTCGATACAATCGATGGGGTAATGGAGCACAAGGCCGCACGGAACTGAAAAAGGTGCAAGTGAAGCCCCGTCGATCGAAGTGGTGGCGTTGAAAAGGAAGGAGCTGGGTCGCGCCCGCTCGCGCCCGTCGTCGACGTGCACGAGGAGTGAGGCTAGAAGCGCGCCGCCACAACGGCGGAAACAGCTCAGATGGCGACGACGTGCAGCGACGTTGATCAGTGCGCCGTTTCCAGCTGAGAAGTACGGACACAACCTGGTCGAGTTTTGGGCTGGCGCCGACTTGGCGCTGGATCGTCTGGTCTCGAGCGCTCTAACTTTCTTTGAGACCGCCATTTGGTCTGCACTCCCCTCAACAGCGCCGGCGCTGCACAAAGGACATGGCCCAGACACAACCCTTGACTGGAATGCCTGACAAACTGCGCTCTTCCGGAAAACCTGGACTGGAAGGCTCTCAAGGTGATGCCATGTGCAAACATTCACACCGGGTCAGCAGAGCGAGCCGGACAGAGCAGGCCGACGCACTTAAACACATTAAAAACTCCAACACTAGACTGCTGGGCGGAATAAAAATGAACTGTTTCTTCAATCCTGCCACGCAAACGGAACATGGTTTTGTAAGGCAGTTTCACCAGATCTGGACGTTCGCAAATTCACGTCGCCACTGCGCGCCCCCCACCTGCGCAGCTGCGATCGCGACAGCTGCATGACCTGACGAACAGAGACGCACAAAAGGTGCAGCGCAAGGCAATGCGAGGCGACGCGGCGCGAGTAAAGCAACGTCTGCTGCGACGCAGCATGCAATGCCTGGCCTTTGGCGACTCCACAAAGGAAGCATGACATTGCGCTAAGCTCTGGGACAACTAAGTATTTATATGATGTATATATACCACGCAAGTCGCCCCAACATATTATTTTTGCTGCAAACAAACCGTTTTTTGCTGCTCAGACACTTGTACATGCAAGTTCCCCCACCACGCTTGAAACCTTCCCCACACTCTCACGAAGGCTTGCAAGGCAGCAACCTAAATAGTGAAATTGTTCTTCCCAAGCCTAAATGTGCAACGCGTCTTCTTTCGTAGCTTGAGCATGCCTTTGACTAGAGGATGACTTGAACCATGTTTCAGCGCCATACTTGCACCTTTACCAGGAATTACATGCGCTCGCAGAAACATCCAAGTTCGTGCTTGGCGCATTCCGCTACAGAATCTTGAGTTTGGAAGCCTGAAGCAGCGGAATACTTGCCCGTAACCTTACTTTCAATAAAGATCCCGTTCTCACCTTCCACCTGGTGCAACAAGAGGTGACAAGGCAACAACCAAGGCACCCAAGAACCGTCGAAGACGCTTGCAACTCTTGGAGAGCGTGCGCAGAGCGTGCAAGATTTCTTGTCGCATCTTGGCGTTGGAAAAAATATGAGGCGCACGCACCAGGTATTTGCCCTTGCCACTATGTTAGCATAAAGAAGGCGTGGACTTTGCCTGGCTCGGGCCGGGGTTGAGGCCAGCGCCAGCTGCGTGCATCCAGGCACGCTCAAAGGGTTGGCAATCCTCAGCGCATAGGCTCCTTTCAAAACGGCCCGGCTTCCGAGGCCTTGGCGGTGAGGGATCATCGCTTCCCTCTGCCGGGGCCAGTTTGTTGCCTTACAGTGGCAACTGTTGGCCCACTTCAAAGTTTCTGGGAGACATGATCACTATAAAGTGCTTGGCTTTTGTTGGGCGATCACCAAGCTATCAATTTGCTCCTTTTCTTTCTGACGTGACAACTCATGAAGTAGTTGAGTTCGTTCATCATCTTCGAAAGCTTTATAGCGCGCACGAAAAGCATCGAGAATCTTCCCAGCTCACCCATTCAGTTCATGCTCTACTACCAAGAAGGCGGCCTGCGCGCACCGTCTCAATTGCAACGCCTGGCCCCACAGCCTGTTGCGGGCGGGCGTACAACGCAAAAGCGTGATCTGGCCATTTTTACGATAGTGGGGTCTGCGCGTCGATCAAGAGCACACGGTAACGGCTTCATCATAAGGCGCACCCAAAATAGTCCATGTATGCAGCCAAAGTGTGGCCTGACCACCGGATTCACGTGCCACACTCAAGGTATTTTCTCTTGACTAGGCACGGTTTTGGCCGGCGCTCACCTTTGACCCTGATAACGTTGGTCCAGTGGCAGGTGGATTTGCGCGACACACGCGTTTTCTACGGGTTTGCGTCAGTCCACGGCAACAAAATCTAAAGACTTCTTCTGGCGTTACTACACGCCCCTTCACAGCCTTCTGCGCTGCAAGTAAAAATTATCGCGGTTCCGATCTTCCACGCTTTGCCACGTTGGGCAAGCACCGCTTCAGGGCGCTGGTCGCCAGCAATGTGCGACAGCAGCAGGACAACACAAAAGATGAGAGGAGGACCCGAGGAAGACAACAAAGAGCAAAAGGATGAGAGAAGGAGAACAACATGAACACACCAAGAGAACAAAAAATAGGACAAAGCTGTGACCGGACAACGCCAACAGGAGGAGCACGACCAGAGAAGGCTGGCAGCGGCGGCCAATGAACACGTGGACGAAGGCGAGCGCCACACAAGGCTTGCCTTGCTCGCGTTGGACGGTTGGATTGCGCCAGATGCGCTTCGTGTCATGGTGTCACGTGGCCGCGAGTCTTCTCAAAACAGGCTGACCCTTTGAGATCTTGATGGCCACTCAAGCACCGCTCATACTCAACCCACTCCGTCATGCTGATATCGAAACTGTTCTGCAGCATCTCCTGAAGCTGGTAGCCGCTGGTCTGTCACTCCTTCTTCCATGGATATTCCCCCAACCTGTCTTCTTTGCCTGGTGGACCTGCACTGCTTCTTCGCGCAGTTCTGCATGCTCTTGTACCATGTGGATTCAAAACAGTTTCTCCGTCTGCGAAGCATTGAGTGAGCTGTCGTTTTCGCTCGCTTTCTCCTCCAAATTAAGGCATTCCTTGACGATACGCCACAACTGTCTGCTACTTCCGCAGGCACCTTTGCTTCCACATTGGCTGCATTGCCATGCGGAGTTGACATCGGCCTCAGCGGGATCCACCTTCGTCATTGCTATCCCTCTTGTGAGTAATGTAGCAGACCACGGCGCGGCCGTTGTGCTGAATCTCTGATGACTCTCTGGGTCTGCCTCGTGTCTTTTCTGATTCTGCTTGGGTCGCGATCTCTTCTCTCCGAGCACTTCCACAAATTCAAGCGTGGGCTGCGCTGATACTTGGACGCAGGTCCCCACTTACCTGCAGCGCCGCTCCACCTGCCTACTCACGCGCGCAAGCCTGGCAGGCTTTCACCTACATTGAATACAAGTAGTTCCCGGGCAAGCCCGCGGCGGAAGTTTCCTATAAGAATTAGCCCAGCTGGAGACCCCAATAGCAAAATACAAACGGGGACAAAAAGAAAAATCTGGAAACAGCTCCTGTTTTCAACACATCGACCATCTCTTCCTTGGACACCATCATCACATAACCGGGACACCATCACAAAATGACCAGGGCACCATCAAAACATGA